GTGCAACAAGTGCCACCATAGTGGTTTTGGAGTATTGAAGACAAATAGGTTGAGGGACTAATGTGTTTGTGAGTATACACAGGAGATATAGTCCTTGAAGATTTGGTTTAACAAATGGAAGATAAGCCCTAAAAATGAATTTCTTCAAGTGAAAAATTTGGTGATGAAATTGGTACGGCCTTCGAAGAAATTGATGTGAAGACTTTTGTCTTCATAGTTTCTTTCTTCTTATTTGAGTCATAAGAAAAATCATACTGTTAAAGGGGGTCTAGGTGAATCATGGTTCACATTTGCAAAGTGATGCTCAAACCTATACATACACAAGTTGCTTCAAGCGAAGCATTTGGAAATCTCCGGAACAGCTGATGCATTTGCTAGCGACAGTGACCAAGTTCATCTAGTCACTGATGAATTTGGTCAGGCTAAGGAGTTAGAAGTTCGCCAGTGCGATCTGCCTGAGGAAATTGAGTGCCCCAATGAATTTGAGAGTTCAAATTCCGACCATTGCTGCGCCACGAGCCAGCTGTCGAGTGGATCCTTATCTTCACAATGGTCATATCAGAGAAGGGCATTTATGACAATTCATGTCGGGTTGCGCCTGGCTATAAATAGCCGCCCCCACAACCACTTGTTGGTTGGCTGATCAGAGAGAACTTGACACTTGTTATTGGAGAGCAACCCATCCTCTGACGACTTTGAGATAATCCTAAGTGGGAAAAAACCCAGAGCCAAAGTGATGGAGCATCACTGAACAGATTGATCCGTGTCATATGACACCTTTTACATTTGAAGACTAGCATTCTTCCAGACGGTTAGGCGTCATGTTCTGAGCACCCAAGAGTCATTGTGGTGTGCCGGTGAACAAGTCCGTGAAGGTTTGGGAAGTCTACCTTGAAGACATACCATGAGTGATTGGCGAGGTCTAAGTTACCTTAGCTCAAGAGGAATACGGTGAGGACTATATGTCCTTTGAGTCAGCCGTCCCAACCAGACGTACAGTTGATACAACAACTGGAATTGGTCTACCAAATCGCAGTGTCTTCACCGAGCCAACCAGCTGATTTCAAATTCCTCACCCTTCCCTTACATTATTCCGCTGCTGAAGAATTTGTGATCTTCAATTTGAAGAACTTGAACTGAAGACTTTCATCATGTTGTATTTTATTTCTTTAGTTCATCTTCCTCATGGTTGTATGCCTATATGATTTCATGTTCTTCACCTGTGTGTATCTTGTATGCATGCTTTTCATTCCTGTGATGATTTAGTTCCCTCGCATTTCTATTTCTTCACTCTGATCTTCGTCAAATTCCTCAGAGTTTGACGAATTTCTAAACATCTCCCATTCACCCCCCCCCCCAGGAGTAAACATGTGCTTTCAATGTCTCTATATCCATGCAAGGCACCGACGCTTGACACACCTCAGTGGTACTCGAACTATATAGGTAGCGAGTAATTTTAACATGCTCCCTCTTAACCCCTCTTTTCACATGGGAGGTAAGAAGGAGAGAGTTAATCAGACCACTGCTTAATCAAATCAATGGCTCATATCTATTAAGTACTTTTACCTCTCATGTGAAAACAGGAGGTAAGAGGGAGCATGATAAAATTTGTCATAGCTAGAGACATGATGAGTGTGTAGGAAATGGCATGTGAGGGTTATATGGATATCCACTAACTAGAATTAATGTAGCAACATTCTCTAATTGTGATGACATAATTCTTAATTTATCAAGTGTGACATAATTCTTAATTTTTCCTGTGTATTAGTGTCTTGATCTTCAAACTCAAAAATTTAAGTTACCTCCTATGATAATTTTTAATAAGATTATTTACCTTGTGTATATATCACACGCAAACATACACACATGCCTCCCGCAACGAATCCCACGCTTCTTGAGCCCTTTCGCCTGGTCTAATTCCAGCTTTGACCACGACCTACCTTGTACCCTTGTGCCTAAGACCCACAACCACTCCGAAACCGCCTCCCACTCTAATACACCCGTACCACCCCCCTCGGAACATGTCGCCTGGACCAAGCCCAACATCACGGGTTTCCCACTCGACAATGTCACACTCGGCTGCCTCTCCACACTAGCTCGCTTTGTCTTTTGTATCTTTCTGTCGATCTATGCGCACCCTCTCTCTATGCACCACCTCAGCCATGTTTTCCACCTAGTTCCATCCCAGTAGAACCACCCCACAATGCACACGAGATGCACACATATGGGAAATATCCTGTTATTTCATGACTCCAAGGAAAACTTTCATAGTGTATTTTCTCACTCATTTCTTCTATTAATTCTTCATATAAAATACCACTCCATGGTCTGAACTGTTGTCATGTAGTATGTGATGTATTTAATGCTTTGTTGTAGAATGACACTTGGTCTTTGGTTCCTCGTCTAACATGTGTGAATGCCATCTTTGGAAAATGTGTCGTTTGACCCAAATTCAACACCAATGGTATGTTGGCGAGGTGCAATGTAAGGAGGGACAGGGGGTGTCCTTGGCTTCAATAAATGTGAGGGTGTTGAGCATAGCGAGATATTAGTCCGATTTTCAAATCGGCTATTATTCATATGGTGCTCAGTCTTGCCACATCCTCCCCATGGCAGTATCTTTTGAACGAGGTCAAGGTGAAGAAACACATTCTTAAAAAAGTGAAGATATACTGTATCAACCCACATACTAGTGTAGGTATTCTTTTTGGATTGAGGTGTCCGTTATAGAAAGTCTTTTTTGGTAAAAAAAATATCATAACACTCCGGGTCCAGTACATGCACTAAAATTTGAATCCTAATACATAAGCTGCCCCATTTGGTAAAAATACCCTTTTCCTTTTTAAAAACACAGCTACACCTCTAGCTGTTGCATCAATTGATGCACGCAACCTTTTTGCAGAAGTTTTGTGTAATTTATTTTAAAAAGGGTGAACGTGTTCTCAATGAACCTAGGAAGATGACATTGTGCACATACAGGTTATATTCAACATGATCTTATATAATATTGGGAACCCAATTAACATGGGGATGTAAAATGTGGAATCTTGCATGAACGTGACACTGCAGTCAAGGTAACATTTTATGTGTGTAAAATTTCATGATGAAATACCATCATTTTATTTAGCCGTCATTTTAGTGTATTTCATGACTACAAATTTGTTCTTTTATTTAGCCGTTATTTTATCATGAAAATTTGGACACATGTACACTATGTCTCTGGGTATATGTGTATTTGTTGAAACGTTAAAGCATGGTTTGAAAATTTCAAAATTAAGGCCTCCATTTGGCATTTTTTGTTCAAGAGAGCACTCTTTATTTGTCAGTTGATCGACCTAATTACATATCCAAGTGACCTGTGAAGGCCTGTCACGTTGATCCGCTCATCATCACGGGCTGTGGTTTATATCTCTATATCCATGCAAGGCAATGACGCCTGACACACCTCGGTGGTACTAGGACTCTGTAGCTGGAGACATGATCAGTGTGTGGAAATGGTAGGAGAGGGTCACGTGGATATTCTCTAACTAGCATTAGTGTAGCAGTATTCTCTAACAGCAAGCAATTATTAATTTTGTGTTTATTTTAAGTAGCAAGTGTGAGATAATTCTAAACTTTTCTTGGGTATTTATTTCACAATATCTATAAGAGGTAAATTTATATGTAACAAATATATATTTTAATGGGTAGGTTCTTCCTTCAAAATATTAAGTCGGATGATCAAATGAATATAAGTCCGATGTTCTACACTTGTATCCATGTCTAACAGATCCTTGTCATATCTACCTTTCAGTCGTACCAAATCCTCTAGGATTGCGCTGGATTCAAAACACTTATCCGTGTCCAGCTGTCTTTCACTGTGTGGGAATCTCTGATGGTCGAATTAGACATCCGAATCCGAGTCGGATTCGGACAGTTGTTTTTGTGTCCAATTTTGTGCAGTGCACTAGCATTACAAATGTATATCCATGCAGCTGAAAATGGAACGATGTTGGTTTTGAATAACGCTGTATTCGACATACATTGTTCTGTTTCATGAATATTTGAATATTTTTGTTTCGGAAACGTTTCTTGGCCCCATTGTTCTTCTGATTTCCTATATCAAAACAAGGAAACTCTCATAGCGTATATAGAGTCGAAACAGAGCGCTTTAATTACTCCAATGATGCCAAGATATCTCCAATATATACATTGTGAATACCATCACTAACTTGGGAAATGCTATGTAAGCATGCGACACACTTCACGTTTCACTAGAAGACATAAATACACAAACTATTTCTATTCTTATTTGCAAAGCCACTTTTGGTTTCGGCCAGTGAAGATAAGATTTGGAAATCACAGTACAATTAATGCGTGTATAGTACTAGAACTAGATCGACCTTTTTATCATCCATTAATCTGATGCATATACATTATGACACTTTTCCTCCTTCCCTATCTATATGAAATGGGCACAACACCTGGAGAAACAATCTCATGTTATTCTCTTTCAAACTGTTGAGAAATCAGAGCGTAGATGCTTGCAATATTGAGCTAGCTGTGTATTAATGCAACTCATTAAATAATTGTAAGTCACGATATAAATTTGCTAGAGCTGGACACATGGTAATAGTTAACCTATAGATCTAATTTTAGATCGGCTAATGTCAAATAAAACAGCACGAAATAAATCAGCTCAAGAAACTAAGAATCGCATGAAATAGCCTGAAGAATTAGTTTTAGATGCATCAAAGTATCAAACACAAACTGACACACATATATAGCAAACCAGCTTAATTGCAGATTGCAGTCTTCATTTATTTATCTATTGAGCGGGGATCGATCGATCGATAGCTATTATTTGCACACAAGTCTGGAAACGCAAAGTCAAAGAGAGAAGGCAGAATAAAATATATACTAGAAGCTAAACACCAAATATAGCACACGCAAGCACAGCTCGAACAACTGTCAACTGAGAACACTAGCAAGCTGCTCGATCGATCTGTTCATCACCCCTACTACTCATCCCCCTGTTCCTGATCTGCCTCGGGAGCCGGAAGGTTCAGATCAACGCCGAACAGGACGGGCTTACGAGCTTCTTTGGCGGCGGCGAGCTCCTCTCTTTCGAGCCAGGAGCAGCCTTTCTTACCATTGTGGCTGGCGCGGTGGCCGCCGAGCGCCTGGCGCGTCTGGAAAGGCATCTTGCAGCGGTCGCACACGTACGGGTAACGCTGCCCGTCCGGCCCGAGCTCGCCCAGGGGTGTCTCCCGGGGCGGCTCCATGCCGCGCCAGCTGCGGTCCGTGTGGCTGCGCATGTGGCCATGGACGGCCTTGGCACAGGCGAATGTGCGGAAGCAGATGGGGCACCCGTCAGGCCCTACCGGTGCCCCACGGGCGATGGCAGGGACGACGGCGTCCACCTCGTGCAGGGACTTGAAGGTCCAGGGGTACCTGGGGTCGTCGCCTCCTCCGAAGCCTCCCGCGACGAGGTAGTGGACATGGCCGGCGCCGGGCATGATGAACACTCGGGAGCTCGATCCGGTCATCATGTTGTGGGTTCTGGGTTGTGTGTTGTGGCTGCCGTTTGTATATTTGTGTATGTAGACGAAGACGACAACACACTCTAGCGTGGGACTGCTGCACTAGGCGTGGAGAGTACTAGCCGTGAGTAGGTGGGCCGTACGCGTGGTGAGTAGTATCGGTTTGTCTCGTTCATTCATATTAGTGTCGCCGGTGTGGAGACTGTAAGCTTTGCTAAGAAACATTTGCGTAGTTTCACATAGAGACAAAAGATTTTACAATTTCAGTTTCTGGTTGAGAAGAGAAGCCACCCCTGGTTTTTGCAAAAACCGTGGGCTGTTTATTAAAACTGGGCACTCTCCTAACCCTCTCACGACCAGCACGCTTTCGGCGGCCGGACTTTGTAATCTTGCTATCGCGAAGGGTTCTAATATGCGGTCCACTTTCGCATGGCCATCTGGCCACCGTGTGCAGATTCGCAGGCCGAGAGTTCTGGACGGAAGTTTTTCAGTTGAAAAAGTGGACCCTATAGGTTAAATGGGCCTCCCTCTCCATGGCGCGCAGCCCGTTTAGCTGAGGGTTAGAGGAAGCAAAGCATGATCGGTTTTCGATTTGCATTGAGAGGTCAACAGGATGTCAGTTGCTCTGCTGCAAAGCAAACCGATTCCGCGGGTGTAGGTTTCCATCAAGAAAATCTTATACCATCGCTGTTCTCTCCCAAGGAAAGAGTCGTGTTCACA